ATATATAATACATAGAGGTTTTTGTAAAATAAATTTAAACTGTCTGCCTGTATGTACTGTATCTATGTATCAACACTGTAGAAGTAAAAGTTTTAAGGTCACGCTGACCCAACTTTTATTTTGACGATTCCAAACGGAAGTGTACAACTGAGTGACGTCAGCTTGACTCGGCCATAAGTCGCTCAAATCCAAACATGAACGGAGTTCCCGCTTCAGGAACATTGAGCTACTAGCATCTTAGCGAAGTGCACGACAGCCGAGAGTAAACTTCCAGTAAGAATGATTTTTACATGTAAACTTTTGAAAACTGTATGTGTTGTTATTTACGTGCTCACACATCCTCCTTCCGTCAGACCTGAAGCCGACCAGGAGAGAGTACATCAAACCGTGCTAATGTCTTACCGCTGGTGGAGGTTCGGCTGGGACTCGGACCAGGAGGAGGACTTCACTGGGACCAGTCCGGAGACCCTGACCCAGGCCATCAGGGCCGCCTCGTCTGAGGACCCGGATGCAGCGGGCAGCGTGCAGTTTGGTACCCTGAGGGGAACAGTGGTCGGGCTCAGATATTACACGGGAGTGGTAAGGGTCGTCCTACACTTTCTTACTTTTCTTCTCTTACACATCCTGTTACAAAAGCTGTACGACTTTTCATTACTGCTTGTTGTTGTCCAGTGTCCACGAGGCGGCTGTGGCTGTGTGCTTAGAGCTGTCCTCCTCCAATGTGAGAGTTGGGGGTTCGATTCCACCAGCAGTCACATGCTGCAGTGTCCCTGGGCAAGACACCGAACCCCTCACTGCCTCTGATGTGTCCCATCAGTGTCTGAATGTGATGAAGCTCTGACTAGTCTCTTTAGAATGATTTGTTCAGTTATCTGTGTAGAGATCTAGTATAGAGCTGTATGAATGGGTCAATGAGGCACAGGTTGTTGTAAAGAGCTTTGAGTGTCTTGAAATAAGATAGAAAGGTTAAATATGTAAATACAGACCATTCACCATTGTTGTCTTCATTCTTTGTTGAATCAGGTCTCTCTTGTAAATGAGTCCTCGAGGCTCAATGGGATTTACCTGTAGAAATAAAGGTTGAATGAATAAAAAATCATTAATGAAACATGCATATTTATGAAACGTATGTTTATGAAACATGTATGTTCATGAAACATGTATGTTCATGAA